GGGATGAGGTGGGATGGCTGAAGACACGTGGATGAGTGATGCTGACCTCCTCCAGCCAACCCTACCAAGATGACACAGGATCTGCTGCGATCACTGCTTCTAGCCTTGCTCTGCCTGCCTCCGTGGGTGTTCAAGTGCTGCTGCTTCAAGCACCAGCGTGATTAATACAATACATGTGTCTGCTCTCTGCAGCAGGCTTTCATTGCCATTCCTGGTCTGAATGCTCAGCATTGGCTTGTACTCTGTGAGGGCTCTCCTTGGGGGCATAAAAAGAAAACCCAATATTAACAAAGAGCGGGAATGGTCAACAAGTGGGTGAGCAGAAAGAGGTTGTGGGGGAATGCAAACTAATAGAAGTAAGAACAAAGTCAAACTTGGGTAGCTTAAATTAAGCACTAAATCTAGACTTAGTTGCTGAAGTAAAACCAGACAGATTGACTTTAGCCAGATATTTTCTTTTTCAGACAGATATTTTCTTTTTCCTTTCTTCTTCCTTCCTTTCTTTTTTCCTTTTCTTTCTCAGGAAAATTGTGACCTGACATCTTGGGAATCAACATTTCAAGGTTAGATTTTCAAGCCTCCAAAATTGGGATATTTGCAAAAAGTCATTGTCACCAGCTGTTGGCATGTGCATGCCTTATGGCTGTCCAACCCCAGCACAGATATTGTAGCACATACCCCTGGCTCAGATTGACTTTAGTGTAAGAATGCATGGTTGTAATTAAATAAGGTCGTCAAGCCTCAGTGACCCACTTGACATACCTGTGGCATAGGCAGACTAATGCTTTCTAATGCCTGAAAATCAATTTTATATTGGTAAAGCTGGAATTATCTATGTCCCACACCTAATTTGGGTATCTTTCCCTGTTGGTGAGTCAGTGGCACATAGCTCTCACGGGATCTCAGCATGGGGGACTGATCTCACCTCATTTCTCTCTCTCACCCTGCATGCAGGGACCAGGACCTAGAGCAGTCCCAAACACGTCAGGTTTTGGCATTGCCCAGCAGCTTTCAGGGGTTCCTCTCTCCTGTCCCATGCTGGTGGCAAGCTACGGCTCAGGTTTGAAAAGCAGGCATGGGGTTTAAGTTCCTCAGCTTTTGGATTTTCAACCTAAAAGTCTCAAAATCAAAGCACAGCCACCTTTTGAATGCAGCAGCCATATTCAGGGGTGTGTGTGGTGTGCAGGTCTCTGTGCACATCATCCTTTCTCTGACAGAGGCTTAATTGAGGCTCCTCTGCAAAATGCCTTCAGTAAGCCACTCAGGTGAGGACCCTCTCATGGAGACTTTACTTCTGGACTGTCTCCCTGCTTCAGAAAAAGAAGGAAAATGAGAAAAGGAAGAAGAAAAGGAGAAAAAACCTTTCTGTGAAGGTCCTGACATGGGACAAAGAACCTATGGGGTGCATCTGGCATGGGGTAACCTGTGTGACCCCATGGATTTGCTTCCTTTTTTTTGGTCTCCAAAGCAGAGATATGCCCCCCTCCTTGCTTACATGAGGAGCTCCCCACCGTGGGCTGAGGCCACCGGGGCCTGGGAGCGGCAGGGGTGGGGGGGCTCCCGCCTCCCCCCCCCCGCCACCCTCCTTGCTTACATGAGGAGCTCCCCACCGTGGGCTGAGGCCACCGGGGCCTGGGAGCGGCAGGGATCGGGAGCATCCCGCCTCCCGCCTCCCGCCTCCCGCCTCCCGCCCCGCAGCACCCAGCAGAGGGAAGCAACGAGCCGCACTCTGCCCGCCCGCAGCCTCCCGGGGGTACCCAGCCTGAGCTATGGCAGATCCCCCGGGGAAAGGGGAGTGGGAGTTTGCAGGATCCTGGCTTCACACATCCCCAGTGCTGCTGCCAACGCTCTTGGCTGGCAAGACGGTGTCTAGCTCTGGCCACGCTGATGCCTCTGGGCTCCCAGGTTGCGACGGAAGCACTCGCTCTGGGGCAGTGGAGCTCAGCTCAGCCTGCACCAACATGGGAGTGCTGCAAGGAGCTAGTCCAAGCGCTGTCTGACCCAGCAGCCTGGCCACCAGCAGATCCCTGGGGAAGAGTTTAAGCAGAAGGCAAACATGCTGTGGCGCTCCTCAACGCAGAAGAGCACGGGGGCTCCTCAGCCAGGGAGGGTATTTTGGTATCAAAGGATTGCTCTCCTGTGAATTTATCTTGCTGCTTTTTGAGCTTGTAGAAACCTTTGCCATCCACAACATGCTGCAGAGCTCTTCCCCGAGGGAGAGAGTCTGAGGACAGCTCTGAGGCTGAGGACAGCGGGTCTCACCCATGAGCAAGGCTCTGCCAAGCAGCTCTTCTTGGGTGAAGGTTGTCTGATCGAAGCTCTTGCCAGAACAACCCACAACTTCAATACTGGAAGAAGCAGAATTACTGGTCTCCAGGGTCCTTAGTTGGGGCTTGTCATTCCATTATACATAGGAGGATGCATATATGTGTCTTCATGGGCTATATAGATGTATGCCAAGGGGTTTGAGCCTGGAAAGGCTGGGAGAATCCACTGGACCACTTTTTAAAATATTTATAGTTCCCAGTAACAGTGCTCCCAAGGACATGCTGATCTTACTTGTTACAGTGCAGGGTGCGCAGTCCATAACAAACACTGGCAGAAAACATGAAAACAGTTCTTAAATGTTTAAATTGTTTCAAAATGTCCTTCCAAGGGTAGTCAGTTTATACAGTGCCTGCACCTCTGGGTCAGCTGGAAGAGAACAGCTCCTTTTGAAACAGCGCTACCCCATCAGCCTAAGGGGGAAGAAATCAATCTTCTAAGTGTAAATGAGCCAGTCTGAGGAGGCGTTGTGCTGCAGTGCCTTATGGAAACTCCAGCATACTAATTAGTGCATGCTAATTCAGGAATGACAGTTATTTCAAGAAATCTGGTGTTGTAGCCTAACCCAGGCAAAATGCTCCAGGTGAAACAAAGAAAATTCTAGGGAGGAAAGCACTTGTGTTTTAAAGAGAAAACAATACTGTTGGTTAATGTCTGAGAGTCCAAAAGCCATTGCTTGATATAAAGGGTTCCCCTTGCAGACCTGTGGGGGGCTGCTTCTATTATCAGCCCCTGTTTGGGACGCCAGTCCAGCTGTACCTGTAGAGGGTGAACCTTGCCAGACCTGGCCCGCTCTGCTCCTGGTTGCCCTCATCCTCCACCTCACATACAATGGACCAAGTCCGAATGTCCAGTGACCAGCCTGGTCTCCCTGGGACCACAGATGGTCCCAGGTGGCCAAAGGACCGTCACAGAGAGCAGTGCCTGCCTTGGCACCCACACCAACACCAGCAGTGCTCACGTAGACATGACCACATTCCTCTTCGATGGCTGGTCAGGACAGGACATGATCCTCGCCCGCTTGGTTCACAGTCACTCTTGTGTCCATGGGTCCCTCGAACCCTGGAGCAGACCAGAAGCCTGTCCAGATCCATGCCCAGATCCTGGGCCCTGTTTGTCCACTCTCCAGATCCAGCCTTGGGTCTTTCTGGCTTCTGGTCTCCTCCCATGCATCAGTTAGTCCAGCTTGTTGTTTGTCACCAAATCCCACGTGTGTACCCCTGTACACAGACAGTAAGGTCACTCAGAAAAGAGCCAGAAGTGAGTTTAATGAGCAGACAGGACAGGCTGTGGTGATCAGGTGCGTGGCCTGGAGAGTGCATTGACCAGCAACTTGTTTACACTCCATCAGCCCCTTTACCAGTCCCACTCCATTTTCCCATGCTGGTTCCTTCCCAATCTACCCGGATCCTTCCCTTCCCTCCCCTTTGGTCCTTCTCCTAAACATCCCATAATACATTTTGCACATTCCGACAAGTCCCTTAAATCATCCCATATAAAGTTTTACACAAGCCCCATCGAATATCCAGCACTAAGTCTGCTCTTTCACAGGGGACCCTGATGACAGGATCCCGTCTTTTGCCTCTGTTTATTTGTTGAAGAGCCATTAACCAGATATCCTTACAAACCATGGTACTTACATTGCAGGTATCTACGTACCCTTTACCTTCCATATACCTTTTACCTTCCTTATGTCCTTACTTGTCACATATCCTTACATCGGCAGAAGTTTGGCATGTTCTCCTCTCCTGGCTGGTCTTCTTGGGGGTTGAACCTTGCATAAGACAGTTGGCAGTGACCACCATATTGGCTTTACTGGAAAATGGCAACCCTGGACTTGCGGACCCCTTTGGCAGAGCACGCTGAGTATCCATCTCCAGATCATTTTAGTTTTTATGCTGTAAATGATAGAATTCAGGATGGGTGGGGCAAGGAAATGGATGTTGGCTGTGAAAGCATAGGCCTGGGGGGACACATGTTTGCCAAACTGGTGCATCATGGACAGGCAGATCATGGGGATAAAGAAGAGGAGGACAGCACAGATATGTGAGATGCAGGTGTTGAGGGCTTTCATAGAATCATAGAATCATTAAGGTTGGAAGAGACGTCTAAGATCATCGAGTCCAACCGTCAACCCAACACCACCATGCCTACTAAACCATGTCCCTCAGCGCCTCATCTACACGTCTTTTAAACACCTCCAGGGATGGGGACTCCACCACTTCCCTGGGCAGCCCCTTCCAATGTTTAACCACTCTTTCAGTAAAGAAATGTTTCCTCATGTCCAATCTAAACCTCCCCTGGCGCAACTTGAGGCCATTTCCTCTCGTCCTGTCGCTTGTTCCTTGGGAGAAGAGACCGACCCCCCCCTCGCTACAGCCTCCTTTCAGGTGGTTGTAGAGAGCCATGAGGTCTCCCCTCAGCCTCCTTTTCTCCAGGCTAAACAACCCCAGCTCCCTCAGCCGCTCCTCAGCAGACTTGTTCTCCAGACCCCTCACCAGCCTTGTTGCCCTTCTCTGGACACGCTCCAGCCCCTCGACGTCCTTCTTGGAGTGAGGGGCCCAAAACTGAACACAGTATTCGAGGTGCGGCCTCACCAGTGCTCCCTCCAAGTTGCAATGTTCAGGATGGTCTTAAGGATGAGAAGATAGGACAGGAGGACAAAGAGCAAGTCCAAATCTAGTGTGGAGAGTAGCACAAAAAGGCCATAGGTATTGTTAATCCTCATATCTGAGCCTGCATGTTTGATGATGTCTGGATGCAAACAGCAGGGATGGGAGAGCTTGCTGACCCTGGTGAAACACAGCCGGGTCAGCAGGATTGGGAGTGGGAACTGGACAAGGGCGGTCCTCATGATGATTGCCACACATATCTTGATGGTCACTGAGTTGGTGAGGATGGAGGAATATCATAGGGGGTGGCAGATGGCCACGTAGCGATCGAACGCCATCGCCAGAATGACAGCAGATTCAATATCCGTGAAGGAGTGAATGAAGAACATTTGGGCAAGGCAGGTGCCAAAGCTGATCTCTCTGCCTTCCAGCCACAGCATCTTCAGCATGGTTGGGAACATGGAAGTGAACAAGCCCAGGTCGGCCCCAGCTAGCATAGCAAGGAGTAGGTACATGGGTGTGTCGAGGCTCCGCTCTGCCCTAATGATGGAAAGGATAGTCAAGTTCCCCAGCAGTGCCAGGAGGTACATAGAGCAGAGAGGCACAGCAGACCACGTCTGAGTGGTTTCCCATGCTGGAAAGCCAGCCAAAAAGAATGATAGGGTCCTGGTCTGGCTGCTGTTGGTCCTGGGCGGGATGAAACAAGGATGCTCCGTCTCATTCCTGAATAGCTGCCCTGGAACGAAGGCCAGCAGGATCACAAGCCACACACAAGCAGTAAGAAATAGGGATAGTCCAGGAGCCCTTCAGTCTGAAGCCTTGGATCAGAGGCATCACCATGACCAGCAAAGCTGTGCTACAGCAAAGCTTACCTGGAGCTGTACTGGAACAGTCTGAGTGTGCTCACCTCCCCCTGTATGCACACTCTGACACAGAAACCATGCACAGACAGAAAACGTGTATGTGTTGCATGCCCAATGTACACAGGGTCTAGCGCTGGCTGCCTGGTATAGCAGGAGAATGAACAATTTTTTAAAAAAAAGTGTCCATCAGGGCTTGTGTAAATGCAAATTGAGAGAGGGAATTGACATTGCAATTAGAGAGGGCTGATCTTGAATTTTGGGCTTTGCTGGGAATCTCTGGTGAAAGAAGAGGCGCTGATAATGGATCAGATACTGTCTGCCTATGGAAATATAGCACCTTTCTTAGGAATGGAGACGGGTAGAGCCTGGCCCTTTTAGACCGACAAAACACAGGCCATCTACAAACACACGGAGGGAAAAAGTTCTACTTAAGCTGAAGGATAGTAATTACTCACAAAGCAACATGTGTAAATTATACACAGATAAAGGTAAGCTGCAAATTACAAGGACATCGTATCAAAGCAGGAGGTCCCTGGACATCCTCCCACTAGAAATACAGGGAGGAGATGGATCTGCTTTTACAGAAAGTTTTCTTTCTGTAAACTCATGCTATCTCATGCTGCCAGGAAGGATGGGGACAGGATTCAAGGACTGTAATCTCTAGAGTCCTTTCCCCACGGTACTTGCAGGCTTCACTGCATGCCTAACTTTGGTCCTCACGCCTGTCTTTGAAGGACCATCTACCACAGGGTATCCACCTGTAAGTCTAGAAAAGTATTTGAAACAACTTAAATAACTGTAAAACCATTACATTTAAAAAAATCTAGATCTATCTATCCATTCAGAAAGTTGCAGAAATATTGCCGTTCTTTCCTCTAATTCATAAGGCTTCTATTCCACAGCACTTCTCTGCCCTTCCCTGTCTCAGTGTACATGTTTCTGGCCCAATAACTGCAAAGACAGAACAAGTTCCATGGATTGACCTGGGCTTGCACAAAGCTGCAGATTTTAAGGTGTGGGAGTTTTCTTTAGTCCCCAACAGAAGCTTATCAAAGATCATCCCCCGCATTACATGGAGGGGAAGGAGGAGGACTTACTGGAGAAAGTTATCTTCAGACACAAACATCTGACATTGGTTAAAGCATCCATAATTCCCAGTTCAGTCTCCACCCTGAGAGTACAGGATCTGTCAGAGGTCATTTTTAATTAAAAAATTAATTGCCCTAAATTTCTGGTATGCCTGATCTCTTCCTCCAGAGGTCTGACAGTGCTTTACACACACTGTGCTAGATGGATGCTGCATCAGTTGTGTGCATGAAGACCTGGGGAACGTCCCTGTCTCATCCACATTTTATGCAACAAAACAGCACGCTCCCACTGCAGCATGCACCGGAGCAAGGGAGCACCATGATTTTAAGCAGGCAGAGCTTGCTGGGACTGTGCTGGCAGGAGGGAAGAGGAGACTCCTACTCCCCCTCAGCAGCCAGGGTGCCTTTTCAGCACCTCAGCAGAAACAAGACCCTCCCGAATTTGAGATCGGGTGCATCCGATCTCACACGTCACAGCCTGTCAGGAAGAGCCTAAGCACAAGAGAAAGGTGAATCCTTTAGGTTGCTTTTCTAAGTGATGACTCATTTTAACTCCTACAGTTTGATGTACTCCAAAAAATTACAAATTCCACAGATGTACCCCAGGATTTCACTGAGACTGGGTGTCCTCACAAAGCTGTGAGTGGAAAAGGGGCTGCACCCTGCTTTAGCATAAACAGTGGTTCTCTGAATGGATGCAGGGCTGCCTATTCCCTTTGCAGGCAGTGAAACATGAGAGTCTGGGGTCTCCGAGAGCTCTCCCATCTCCGTGCCAGCCCTCTGGAAAGGGGACAGAGCACAGCTCCTTGGAGCAACACCCACCTTGGGCAGCTGAAATGAGCTGGCCCATAGGAGGGTGACAGGGGTGTTTGCAGGTGCAGGCATCATGGACCCTGTCCACATCTGGGAGGAGTCAGGACCCAGATGAGCCCTCGTCAGTGGCACAATGCAATCTTCCACGACAGAGCGAAGAGCCCACTCACCTGCCTTGCTCACAACCACCCTGAGCTTCCCACCAGCTCCGCTGCAAGGAAGCAGCCTGCTCCTGACCATCAGGGCCCACAGCAGCAGAGGATTTATAGAGGACCCTGAGCAACCCCCCTGTGGGAGAGGGCTGGCCTGGGAGCATGAGGGGTTTTGGTTTCTCAGCGCTCAGAGAAGATGCATTAACTCCCACAGCACCAGGTCCACCCTGGCATGCAATGCAGCTCTGCACTGCGCCATCGGTCCCTGCTGATGGCAGCACGGGATGCACCCTGGAGACACCTTCCAGAGATGCGCTCCTCCTCCCGGCCTCCCCCTCCCCGGAGAGTCAGGCCAGGCGTGGTATGGGTAGAGGAGCTCCTGCTCTGTGGCAGGGTGATGGATAGATGAGTCCTCAAGGTTTTTCCCAGCCCCACTTCAGTTCTGTGGATGTGGAAGGAAACCCTGCAACAGGTCCCTGGTCTCTGGAGCAGACCAGAGCTATGTGGCCTTGTGTCCTGTCCCCAAAAGTGGCCTTAGGCAGATGCCAAGAGAAGAATGTAAGAACAGGGCAAGCGTGCTTAGTAATTCCTCAAGCACCTTTCCAGCCTTCAGCAGTTTGTGGTCTAGGGGATTCCTGAGCCAGAACTGGTTCATATATACATAATAGCTCAGGAAGGACCTTTTATTCCACTAAAGGTTCATTTGAATTTGAATTTTGGTAAATGCAACACACAATGGCAAGAAGATCTAGAGCCACCACTTTATGCTTGTTCTGAACACGCTTCTTTGGAGGGCTCCTAATTCATTTATTGGAAGAGACAGGGTACACTTCATCCCTGCCACCCGTTCAAAGGTGGCTTATGCTGACACAACCGAAAGTAGTGTCCATGGTGTGGCAGCTGCCTTCCTGGCCGGTGCTGTGTGCTATCTTCAATGTCAGGTCATATGTCTTGGTTCTCCAAGATGTGTTGAGTTTGCCTTCCAGGAACACCTCTCTCAAGCTCTTTGGTCCCTGTGGGACCCACATCTGCATGGTCCCACAGGACCACATCTCTGCCTTCTTCCACCTTCCAGCTTTCTTCTTCTTTACCCACTGGTTCAGGACCACTTGTCTGCCACCCTGTCCATGTCCTGCTGGCCAGCCTGGACCACCCACACCATAAGCCTCACTGGGTATGGGGTGAAGACCAAGGAGATGTGGGCATGGGTGTTTGGCTTGCTCTGTTAGAAGCAGCGCAGCCTGGAGCCCAGCACTGCTCTGGCAGGTGAGGCTGGATGAGCCTAGACTCAGCAGCCTTCCCCCCCGGCTGTCCCCAAAATACCTCCCTGAACATCCCAGCTCCCTCCAGCTGCCCTGGGTCACTCCAAGCTCCTGCGGTAACTCACCCTTCTTTTAGTCCTCCCATTGGGGTGCTTCAGGGTGGGGAGCATCGTGAGCCCTGAGTGCAGCCACTGGAGCGGTGAGAGAGAAACAGGATTCGAGTGAGCACTGTGAGATGGTCCTCAGGGATCAGGGCACGAGCGCACGCCTGGGTGACATGCTGAGTTCGGCTGGACCAGAAGAGATGCTCCAGGACATCCACCTCCATCCCCATCAGCTCTTTGTGGGTCTTCCCTGCACAGACCCCTTACTATGCCCTTATCATGTGACAGCAGACACTCTTGCAGTGTTGCAATTATACTTTAATTCAGGAGGTCAGCAGCATGTCTAGGTATGATTTAAATCTTGTCTCAGCCCTCAGAAAGGTTCTTGTGAGAGGCAGGAGGTTAATGGGGGTCTTCCTAAATCTTGGACTAGATTTTACCACAGCACTTGGTGCACCGATGGATGAAGCATTTTGAAAACAACATAATAATAAAATAAATGTTCTGGGTGGATTTCATCCAACTAGAGGAAATGATAAGAACAAAATGCTTTAATGGCCATTGTTAGTGAGGGGGAGAAATGGAATATTGAGTGCTGAACATTGTAGCTCAAGAGCCTCAGAGTGGATGAAGATGGTCAGATTTCAGTATCTAAAGTTATATTTATTACTGTATTCTTTGGGGCTTGTCTTTCCCCACTGGTAAAACACTAATGAAGAAACATGGTGCACAGGGATATGGTGAATGCATTTTTATTGCAAGGAGGAATTGCATTAGGGAAATGTTAACTTAAACATCTAAACCATTTGCGTTTGTGCAGTCATTTTGATGGAGGTTTGTTACCGCAGCCATCACAAACCCCTGGCTGACCGTGGGGAGCAAGCCAGGCTGGAGGCAGCAGCTCTGCCACTGAGCACCGGGCTTGAGCTCTCCGAGACCATGAGACTGATCACAGCAGGTCCTGCCTGGAATGATGGCCCAGGAGTGGTGGCAGGTGCCTTATTTTCACAGTGAACTGAGATAAGTGGACTATATTCCCACCCTGGATACCCAGGTGTAAATTCCACACGGCTACACACAAAAACCACAATCCACATGGACCGTCAAGAGGGACGTTTGCTCACGGCTAGCTCAGGCACCAGCACTGACTCTTCACATGCCCCAGGGGACAGAAAGTGGTGTACAAGCCTTTCCCTCTGCCCTGACCCAGCAGAGGCACAGCCCATGCAGGTTGACTGCAGACTCGCTGCAGCACTGGTAATTTCTGCAGCAGGTTACTACACGGAGCCAGGAGCTCATCCCAGTGCATGGACCTTGCTCCCAGTTACTCCAGTTGAGATGCAGGGTTAGGGGTGGCAGACAGATAAACTCTCTGCTGGCACAACCCCACCTGCGCCAGGGGATAAACTGGCACGGGGGCTTTCCCACAGCACAGCAGAGCTGAGACAGTTTCTGTAAACCCAGGCACCTGGAGGTGACGTTAGAACCTTCCCAGTCCAGACCAGCTCCAAAGGGGTTTGCTGTCTCTGTGCCCAAACACGCAATGAGAAAGCACCAGTCTCTCAAATGCTTGTGCATGTGGCTAATTCCCGTTAAAAAGAGGTGTATGTGGGAGTCCCTGAGTGCTGCTATAGGGTCAGAGCAAAGGATGAAAAGGGTACAGAGGAGGAAAAGGAAGAAACTAGGAAATTCACCCACAAAGTCTGTCCTTGTGCATCTCCTCAGGCCCAGAAGGTGTGGGAAGGGACTTGGTCCCAGCCCAGAAAAGCCAGAAAATGCAGCAGCCGGATGCCTTGCTCTTGATGGAGACAGGGTGAGGCCCTCCCCCCGGGAGTCAGCTGCTGAGAAGGCAAAACTGGGTTTTGCTAGAAGAGAGATTTACTGAATTGGGGAGGGGGTTCACTGGAGCAACACAGCTTCATGCTGTGTAGGCAACAGTGCAGAATAGGGCATTTATCGGGCCAGGGAGACACTGTCCTCGCCCTTTTGCTCAGCTGATGGCCCTGCACATCTGCCTCATGCTGATGCCCAAGGTCCATTTTTTTTATCACCAAGGTCCGTTTCTTTATCACCAAGGTCAGCTCAGGAGCAAAATTCACCCCCAGCCAGATGGTCTGCTGTGTGCACAGGGAGCAGCAAGCCCCTCGCAAGGCTCTCAGTTTCCTCCCCAGCCTCCACGGGTGGTTTCTGACGATGCTTTGTCACCATGAGAGGATGGACCCTCCAGGCTAGAGACTCACAGCAGGGGCAATGGGTGTGAGGGGCTTTCACACACCTTGCTGATGTGCAAATGAGAGTGCAAAGCACTGGGGAGCAGCCGTGCTGCTGCTCTGGCTTTGTGTTGGTAACACCTCTGGAAAAGAGCGGGGTAAATCAAGCCTTGGAGGAGCTGGTGGCATCTTATTTCCCCCCAGCTCTGCTCTGCGCTCCTCTGCCCTTCATCACACAGGGAACCAAACCTGGGTTGTACTTCTCAGAGTGGCTTTGGATTAAGCCCCAGATTAACAGTGCTTAGCACCAAACACAGCCTGGCTGGAAAATCAGCACCCAAACTGGGGAAGGGATCAGGGCATCCAAATCCCAGCACCTCCTCTGGAAATCCCAGTCATTGATGGGAGCATGGTCTGGAGGAAGCCTGGGTACCACCGGGCATCCCCTTGCCCAATGCTCGCAGGCTGGCAGCACAACCGGGTGTCCAGAGCTGTGCCTCAGTTTCCCCTCTTACCCTGTCCTGCCCCGATTTGGCCTCGGCATGCCGTGGGGTTTCACCAACACTAGAGGGAGCAGGAACTCTCCCACGGCAGCGGGTTTGCGGTCCTCCAAAACTGCACCTCCCTCTGGACCTGCACAGGGCACGGGGTCTGTGGTTGTGGATCTGGTGCGGTGCTGTGCCGGGCCGGGGCCCCCCAGCCGCGATGCACCGTTCCCTGGGCAAAGCCACACACACAGCTCGCACAGTGCTGCAGGGGCTTCGCGGGGAGGCAGGGGGTCCCGGGGGGAACAAGCCAGGTCTGCCGCAGCAACTCTTGCAGGGTGGCTTGGCCAGCCTTGCTTTTCTTTCCCCCTTCCTCCCTTAAACCCATACCTCAGTTTCCCTGCCTGGAAAGAGAGGGCTTGCTTTCATTTGCATCATCCTGCAGGTCTGTCGGTCCTCTTCCCAGCGCTGCATGCGTGAACCGGCACAGAGGTTGCTCCAGGGAGTGGCATATTTCAAACATGAAGGAAAAGGCGCTTCCCAGGGCAGCGATGGTGCCTTCAAATCCTGACTGTGTGCCTGTTGGGAAGGGGCTCGTGTAAAACACCAGCTCCTGGCATGACAGGAGATCCCAGGTGAATTTCGTGCCTTGTGATATACGGGAGCTCAGTCTGGGCAGCCTAATGCTTCAGAACACAAATGTTTTGTGCTATGGATCACCCTAAACCACATTTACCCAAAAGCTCCTCAACCCCAGTGAAAGAGGCCAGCTTTACAGCACATGCAAGAGCTTGCCCGGAGCACAGTAGGCTCAGCACTCACCTGCACGGAGTTGGGCTCAGTACGGTTGAGAGGTCATTACACAAACACCAAACAGACCTGGCATTAATTTCCAGCCAGAATGCTAACAAAAGGCTGGCTAAGGAAGATTATGCCTTGTTGTATCCCTGGGGTAGGAGGAGGGCATGGGACAGCAAACATCCCCCTTTCTTGAGGGGGATCCTGCCCTGCCATGAGCATTTCATAG